GTCCATGACTATTATAAAGTAGTCAAGTTTTTGGCCTAAAGAGAGAGCGTGTCTTATGGGTTGCCTCCATGTTGGATTGCTTTAAAAAAATGGATTCAATCCACCCCCAAAGTTTAATTGATAACAAAATTTTCTTGAGTTTTCAGAAATAACACTATCTCCTTACTATTATTGAGTTGTTAGAGTTTACTTTATGATTGAGATCTTTCAACTTAAACTGGAGCACAATTCGTGCTATTAATTTATTGTAATCTGATAAATATGAAATGGAAGTTGGAAGCAGTTATTTTATTTGCCGTCTCATCAACTCTTAAACCATTGGATGTAAGATCACCGTTGAAATTTAATAAAATTTATGTTAGAAATTTAAGTTAAAGAATTCATCCCTTACTTTATTATGATTTAATAGAAATCTTATTGCCTTCTGTCGTTTAGTTTAACACCTGAAACTTAATAGTTGGGATTTTTGTTATTATGTAACTTCATGGGGTTTTTGGTCAAACCCTAAAAAATGACACATAATTTGAGATATTGTGACAATTGGCTAAGTATGTTAGGTCTTCAAGTAATGTAATTAATGGGCTTTTGTCTTTTAGCATTCTATTATAATGCATTAATTGAATTTTTTGCTTTAATTAAGTATTGGAGATATTATTTAGAGGGAAAAAGAAAACAAATGTATGAATAATGAAAATTGAAATATTGTCAAGTATGTTGGCACTTCAAATCATGCTTTTAATTAGGGCATATTGGTTTTGATAAATATAACATTTTATATTTGTTTTCATAAAAAAAAATTGAAAGTTGTTTCTAATTTTATTAATAATAATTAAAATATTTTTTATCTACACTCAAATATTTGAATACATGTATAGAGAATCAATGAATTAAACCCTTAATCTTAATTAAAAAAAATAATGAGTGGATTACATAATATAATAATTATAAAACATTTGAAAGTAGAATCTTACATGAAACAACAAAATTTTATTCTCTAATCAAAACTCTCCAAATTAATCTAATAAAAATATAAATTAGCAACCAAATCCCAATCTCAGTAATGACAAGCACCCCACCTCTCTCCTATCTCAAAACAACCAACAATCTATATTTATTAAATTTTATTTAAATGATTAAAAAAGAAACAAAAAACTTATATAAAAGTAGAAAAATAAATAAATAAATAAAAAAACCTTTGATAAAAATACTTAATATTAACCACCACCAGGTGGCTTGATGGTTAAATAGCAAAAGAGGATCTAACATGGTCTTCCAAATTCAATACCCTTAATGGTATGAGGAGATCTAACATTTTCGAGTTCGAGTTCTCACGGCCTTTAATAGGGATGACCATTGAACTCTTACTCGACCGACAGTTTCAAGGTCTCAGAGATTAGTTGAGATGCCATAAATTGACCCAGACACCCTCGATCATTAAAAAAAAAATACTTAATACTATTTTCTGATCATAGTGGGTGCATATTACATTAATAAAGTATATAAAACATAATTCTTAGAATTTGACGTATACCCTACAAAACATATTCAATAACCCATGAAGGATTAATTGAATGATCGGTTTGTGATGTACTTTTTGTAAGATCTATTATTACAGAATTTTATAGGTACCTAATTTTGAATTTGGGTGAGTAAAGCGTAAATTTTATACTTTTATTATCTTTTTTTTTCTTAAAGATTATAGAGTTTGACAAGAGTAAAGGGTTTTATACATTATACGTATTAAATTATTGTCTTCATTTTTAAGAACCGCACAAAGTGATTGCGGGCTGTGGACGGCAAATAATGAGAGAGAGGTTGCTTTGTGAAGTAATAAATTGTAAGTAACATTACAATGTGGGTTTCATAATTTTACTACTGCTTTATCGATGCTTTTAAGCTACTCTCTCCTTCTTCATCTCTTCAATTTTTCTCTCTTTTGTTATTACACTTTTGATTTTAATTCTTTTTGCAATTATATCCAGCCACGTTGAACTTGATTAATTAACTCTCTTCGTTCTTTGGAAAAATTAAAGTCCCTTTGATTAATTAACTGAGCTCTTTGGACAATTTTACATGTATCTTAATTAATCTTTAAGAAGAGTTATTTTGTAACAATCTATCATACGACATCCTGAATAAATTATAAGTAAAATTACTATTTTTCTGTCTAACGTATCTTCTTATTTTTTTAATTAAATGAAAGTAAGAGTTGGTGGAGTACAAACCTTAATATTTAATATTATTACTTTAGCTTCTTGATAACTAACTAGAACTTATCTTAAAATTGAAGTCATTGTTTTAATTTGTCTTGTGGTTATCAAGTTTAGTTAGTCAACCACTTTTTCTTCTTTTATATAGTTGCTTTAATTTGTTTGAATCTTTTTGTATTATTGTTAGTTGGGTTTGAGTTAGACCCATCATTTTGCTTTTGAGGAATTTGATAATTAATTAGTACTAACTACTTGTTTAATTAAGTGCCATTGTCCCATCATTTTTTTTTTTTTTTTTTTAAATGTTACATTTGTCTTAGAGTGATAAGTAAATTGAATAATATATGAGATATTTTGAAAGATTGTATAGAATAAAGAATATTTGTTATTGCTAGTATTTAACTCTTTGGTTGTCTTCTTTAATTTACTAAAAAATTAATTGATTCAATGAATCGTGTTAAAGATTTTAATCTGTTTTAACTTATTGTTTACATAACAAAGTGTGTATAATTTGAGTAAAATTATTCTACACGTTATATTATCCGTCTTGGCTTCGGAGAATTATACTAATCGATATAGTTCATAATTCATATTACTTATAAAATCCAAATTATTGATTGTGTAAAAATATATACAAACACTGTTGGTTAAATTGGTCAGCATCATACCATGGCGGAGGCTAGGAGATTGAGTCACCTTCAAGGTTGATGGTTTAAGACAAATTCATCCTTTTATTGTAGCTATAACTTTTGATTTTATGATAAACGATTGACTTAACAAAAATATTTTAGTTCAAACATATAATATAAAAGTTAACTATTTTTAATGAGAATTAACTTTGAATTTTAATTTTATGAAAATTAAAACGTTTGTGGGAGATATTAACCATATAATAGACTTCATAAACATGATTATAGTGAGTGCTAGCAGGTAGAGAGTTAGTAATTTACCATATTTTTTGTTAAGTAGCTAAATTAGATGGTAGCTTCAATAACAATTTCAATATTGTGCTTTTTACCAATGGATTAGCAAGAGAAGACAATGCCGATTACCAAATACATACATCATTAATTGACCTAATCAATTGTCGAATCAACGTTGAGTGAGAATTACAGAAAACAAAGAAAGAACAGCACATTAAGATTGATAAGGTTAGTTGCAGCTTACAAAATTTAATAATTAAGTATGCAAAGACCCTACATGAAGGAAAAAGTTTACTCTTCTTTTTCTTTTATTTCTAAAAGCAATAAATGATAAAAAAGAGTTTATTGTTTAAATAATTAATAAATATTTATATTGCTTTAGGTGAGATGAACAATGGTTTTGATAATAGATATAGTAGCATTTTTTTTCTTTTTTTAATAACTGAGCTGTATGAGTCAGTTTGTGTATATTTAACTAATTTTGAAATCTATTAAATATCGTATATGTCCAATGGGTCAGATAAGTTATAATTATAGTAAATAACTATTTTGTGGGTTTTGAACACAAGACCTCTGAATAACCCACATAGTCACCCAAATGATAAAGTCTTGGCATTAGACTACGAGACTAGTGGTTTGCATTTTTGTTTTTTTTTAAATAGAGATCATCAAGGCGGATCCAAAGTGTATTAAGGGTGGGCCACTCTCAATTTTTTAAAAACAAAATTAAATACATTTTCTATTTAGTTTGACTCCTACCCATAATTTTTATTGTCAAATATAAAAATTGTGATCCACTCTCAATTTTAGAACTAAAAATTTTTATTTGGCCTACCCTAATAGATTTTTTGGATCCACCCTAAAATCATAGTATATAATCAACAATTAATGTTAAGGACAAATTTTGTAGCCTTCCTTATGAGAAAATCTTCTACATTTTGTCACCACAGCATTAACCATCAATAATAACTTGATTCACATTTTTAGACAATGTCAGACCCTAATCAAACAAAAAATATTCAATGATTCATAAAATTATAATGCAAGTGGGTTGGTTTGACAATTACTCCATGGTGTTTTCTGTGGAAGTTGTCAAATGGCCCATCTTGGACAGGGAATAGCAGCCATTCACATGGAAAAACCAGTGCCCCATTCACTGGTTCTCATGTCTCAAGATGGGTCAACTGGGCATAATTAAAAAATTGAAAACAATTTAAAAATTAAAAATTAGGTCATCTCAGCTTTGTATCAATTGATTTTGGTGTCGAAAGCTGAGTGGTCTATTGATCACCCACCACATTCTTCCAAACTCACAAGTCAAAGTCTTGATTATTTTTTCAAGAAAATTATTGTTAGAAGATAATGAGTTTTATTGTTCAAATTTTATCGTAAAAATATTCTGTTAATGGATATGATACAGTAAGATAGATTACAAAAATGTTTTTCGGATAAAATTTGGATGACAAAGACATATATTGACGAAGGAACATAACAACTATCAAAAAGAATTCTGAGCTTTTAAAAGAATGATGATAAGATTTGGTGATGTGGGTATAACCCTTTTCCAGATTTGCTGCCAAAAAAGGCTCAACTGAAACTAAAGGAAGACGCTGAACAACTTTCTTTATGCAAAGTAGAAGACAAACATAAACCTGTCAGCTCAGTGGCAGTTGCAACTGGTCACATGTTGCCATGCCAAGAGCATCTCAGAAACACACAGGGAATCCAGAATCTTTACCAAGACCATTGAGATCATCAAAATCACCACAAGGTCAAAAAGAAGAAAAGTGAAAAGAGTCTGCCAAAAAAGGAAGAAACTAAAGAAACTATCTGATAGTTGGAAAATTGGTTTCACTAGTTTTTGGTATGGTAAATGGTAGCTCAGCAATCAATTTCATTTCTTTGTAACAAAAAGCATACTCTATACAAAGCATAAGCATCTCTAAACTATAGCTCTATGTTTCTGCTAACCTATACTATGTTCAACAGCAACTTTATCTGCTACAATGAAAAGCATCTATCAAACTGTAAGAAACAAAACTGTAAGAGCAAGCAAACCATAACAATCTGAATCATATAATTGGAGAAGGAGGACATTCCCATACATCAAACACATTCTCTTCACTGTGGAGAGCGAAGAGTCGATCACCACCGATCGAGAAATCGCAAATGGAACCTCCATAACTTCGTCGAAGCCTGGATGTTAACACCCAATCCGGACCACAAAACACAGAAATTGAATCGTTCATCGATGAAAACAACTGCCCCTCATGCAACGCCAGTTTCGGGTAACAAGGTTCATCAGGCATGTTGCCTTTCATTAACCGGCTTCTGGAGCTCCACCTTACACTTCCTCCACTAATCCTCAAGTCAATGAACCCCAAATCCTCATACTCATTCACCACACAAATGGAGTTACTCTCCTCCATTGCAATGGCATCCCTAACCCTCTTCTCATCCACGGTTAAAGGAGCGCCAATATCAGACCAAGACCACACCATGTTCTTGTCTCTAAAATCCAACAAACTAATGTAACAGTTATCCTTTCTGGGAAACAAAGTTGCAACCAACAAACAGTTGCTCCCACTTAACCATTGTAACTTATCAGCATCACCAAGAGACCAACCTGGACTCTCGTAAAAGAAATCTATCTGCTTTCCTGTCACCTGGTCCCAAACTCCAACCCCATACTCATTACTCCTCCCTTTGCAACTTGAAAATATCTTATAATCACTACTAAAACTCAATGCCCCAGCTGTGTAACTCTTCACTTGATTGTCATGGCTGACCTGAAATTTGTACCTTAACTCTCCACTTGAGGCACTAAACAATCCCATCCCTCCATCTTTGCTACCTAATCTTTCACAAACACTTATCACAATATTCTCAGAATCGACCCACCCAATATCATTAACTCTTTGATAATCAAGATTGATTGGTGGATGTTCTTCCAACATCCAATCATAAACATGAACCATGCTTCCATGAGCCACACAGCAGCCTCCATCCGGGCCTGCCCGGATGGCGGTGCCATCGCCGGGAGCCTGACCAGTTACAGACCGGGATAGCCTCAACCTGTTGCCATCAAACGGACCCCATTTGGCTGTGCGGATATGGTCTAGAAGACCATAAAATGAGGCCTCTCTAAAGAGGAGTCTTTCATTGATATTTGGGGGAATGTTGAGATCACCTGTACGGAGAAGATCGAGAAGAATTGAAAAACACTCGGGGTTTCGATCAATGAAGAGAGCTTCATTAGAATTGTTGTTGATTTGTGAGTTCAAGTCCCAGTTTTCATCAAATAATGCACCAAAAAATGAGTTTCGCCCTGCATTTGCAAGAGTTGTAGCTGTTGTTTCAAATATTCTACCGCCTACATTGAACTTGACTCGATCTTTCTGAATTCCCATATTGGATTATTGGCCTTTTCAGCCAAATTTGATAAACTTCCACAAACAACAAACCAAACGACTTGATTTTGATACAAATTTGACAGATTGTCAAACCAAAAACAGAGAAAGCAGAGGATTTTTTTTTTAAACTTCCAGGAAAGTTGGAGAAAATTCTACGTATTAATAAAAGGATTAAAACAGAGATTTCAAAAAAAAATAATAATAATAATATGAAGAATACTACAAGAACATGAACAGAACCTGAACTTGAAATACAGGGAAAACAGAGGGAATGGAATGAATCAAAAAGACGCAAAATTTGATGAAATTATAAGAAAACAAGATCTGGGTATTGGAGAGAGAAGGATTTTAGAGGTGGGTTTGAGATTTTTTTTCTTTTTTGGATTGGAGAAATTTGGAATGGTTTGATTTCAAACAAATTGGCTCAATTCTTCTTCTCTCTTTTTACTTTGCTTTCTCCTTGTTTTTCTCTTTCTTGTCTTTGGCCTTCTTTGGTCTTCTTTTAGACAAACATAGTCTGAGGAGAAACTTTATACATAGCAAGGCCTCATTGGTGGGCTCCATCTCAATTTTGTTTCCACATTGTGATTGATCAAACGGTGGAGATTTCATCATTTGGTGATATCAAATTTCAAATTTAGCCCCTCTTGACTTGGCCTTCTCATTGAAAATTCACATTTAAGTCACATCTTTGGTTGGCACCAAGTTGACTTAATACCCACTAATGGAGTTTTCCACCCTTTGATGGTTGTACAATTTGAAGTCAGAATAGATCCAACGTTGGAGATTTGATGGTGGAGGTACTCTTGAGATGGGTTTAAGAAGTGTCCTATAATAAATTTGTTTTAGGGTATAGTTAAGGCCCTGAAGAGGTTGTCCATGACCAATTATAAGAAGAAGTCAAGCTTTTGGCCTAAAGAGAGAGCGTGTCTTATGGGTTGTCTTCATGTTTCTTTATTTGTTTATTTATTTCATGTTGGGATTTGCTTTTAAAAAGTGGGGTCCAATCCACACCCCAAAGTTTAATTGAATTAAAAGTTTTATTCAGGTTTCAAAAATAACACTAATCTCCTTACTATTAGTGAGTTGTTAGAGTTTACTTTATGAAATGAGATCTTTCAACTTAAACTGGAGCACAAATTCATGGCTATGAATTTATTGTAATCTAACAAATATGAAATGGAAATTGGAAGCAGTTATTTTCTTTGCCGTCTCATCAACTCTTAAACCATTGGACTGTAATGAATCAACGGTTGAAAATTTAAATAAAAAGTTTATGCTAGAAATTTAAGTTCATTTCATCCCTTACTTTATTATGAGTTAAGTTTAACACCTGAAACTCAATAGTTGGGGATTTTTGTTATTATTATAACTTTATGGGGTTTTTGGTTAAACCCTAAGAAATGACACATAATTTGAGATATTGTGACAATTGGCTAAGTATTGTTAGGTCTTCAAGTAATGTATAATTAATGGGCTTTTGTCTTTTAGCATTCTATTATTAAAGCATTAATTGAATTTTCTTTGCTTTAATTAAGTATTGAAGATACTATTTAGAGGGAAAAAAGAAAAACAAGTGTATGAATAATGAAAGATTGAAATATTTGTCAAGTATTGTTGGCACTTCAAATCATGCTTTTAATTAGGGCATTAATTGGTTTTGATAAATATAACATTTTATATTTGTTTTCATAAAAAAAAAAAAAATTTGAAAGTTGTTTCTAAGTTTATTAAATAAATAATTAAAATTTAAAATTATTTTTTATCTACATCAAAATATTCTCAAGAACATATATAGAGAATCAATGAATTAAACCCTTAATCTTAATTAAAAAATAATAATGAAGTGGATTACATAATATAATAATTATAAAACATTTGAAAATAGAATCTTACATGAAACAACAAAATTTTATTCTCTAAATCTAAAACACTCCAAATTAATCTAATAAAAATATAAAATTAGCAACCAAATCCCAATCTCAAGTAATAACAAGCACCCCACCTCTCTCCTGTCTCAAAACAACCAACAATCTCTATTTATTAAATTTATTTATTATACAAAAGCTAAATCTATTTATAATATGATTAAAAAACAAACAGAAAAACTTCTACAAAAGTAGGAAAAAAAAAAAAAAAAACCTTTGATAAAAATACTTAATATTAACCACCACCAGGTGGCTTGATGGTAAAATAGCAAAGACGGATATAACATAGTCTTCCAAATTTGAGTATCTTTAATGGTAAAAGGAGGATCTAACATAATATTTCGAGTTTGAGTCCTCACAACCCTTAATAGGGGTGGTCATTGAAACTCTTATGCGACTAGTAGTTTTAAGGTCTCAGAGATTAGTTGAGATGTGCGTAAATTAGCCCGAACATCCCCGATTATTAAAAAAATAATATTTAATACTAATTTTCTGATAATAGTGGGTGCATATTATATTAATAAAGTATATAAAACATAATTCTTAGAATTTGACGTATACCCTACAAAACACATGCTAATTAACCCATGAAGGATTAATTGAACGATCGAGTTTGTGGTGTACTTCTGTAAGATCTATTATTACAGTGTTTTATAGGTACTCTAATTTTGAATTTGGGTGAGTAAAGCATAAAATTTTTATACATTTATTATCTTTCTGTTTTTTTTTCTTAAAGATTATAGAGTTTGACATGAGTAAAGGGTTTTTATACATTATAGGTATTTCAAATTATGGTCTTCATTTTTTAGAACCGCACAAAGTGATTGCGGGCTGTGGACGGCAAATAATGAGAGGAGAGGTTGCTTTGTGAAGTAATAAATTGTAAGTAACATTAACATGTGGGTTTCATAATTTTACTACTGCTTTATCGATGCTTTTAAGCTACTCCCTCCTTCTTGGTCTCTTCAATTTGTGGCTATCTTTCTCTTTTGTTATTAACACTTCTGATTTTTAGTTCTTTTTGCAATTATATTCAGCCACCTTGAACTTGATTAATTCATGTTGATAATTGGACCAACAAGTATAACTCTGTTCGTTCTTTGGAAAAATTAAAGTTCCTTCTGATTAATTAACTGAGTTCATCGGACTAGTTTACATGTATCTTAATTAACATTTAAGACGAGTGATTTTGTAATAATCCACCATAGCGACACCCCGGATAAATCATAAGTAAAAGTACTATTTTTCTGTCCAATTATCTTCTTATTTTTTTGAATAAATGAAAGTAAGAGTTGGTGGAGTACAAACCTTAATATTATAATATTATTACTTTAGCTTCTTGATAACGTAACTAGAACTTATCTTAAAATTGAAGTCATTGTTTTAATTTGTCTTGCGGTGATCAAGTTTAGTTAGTCAACCATCTTTTCATCTTTTTAATAGTTGCTTTAATTTGTTTGAATCTTTTTGTATTATTGTTAGTTGGGTTTGAGTTAGAACCCATCATTTTGCTTTTGAGGAATTAGATAATTAATTAGTACTAACTACTTGTTAATTAATTAAGTGCCATTGTCCCATCATTTTTTTTTTTTTTTAAATGTTACATTTGTCTTAGAGTGACAAGTAAATTGAATAATATATGTTGATGCGTGATTTTGACACCAACGAAATACACGTGTGAAATGTTTGGTTGGCCCCCAAAAGACACACGTGAATGGTTTAGAAAGATGAAAGTAAATGCAGTGAGAAAAGAGTTTTAAAGTGGTTCGGATGCTAAGGAAGCAAATCCTACGTCCACTGATGTTTTTATTAATGATAAGGGTCAGATCGCTTTAGATGACTGACTTTACGTTGATAGTACAAGGTATTGAAGGCTGTTTTTTCTAGAGAGAGAGAAAGAGCTTTTTCTTTTCGTAAGATTAAAATGGGCGAATCCCTTTAATGAGAGAGGAGCTCCCATTTTATAGTAGGATGTCTTGAGGTAATCATCATTGAATCTGCAAGTTGGTGGGATGATCCGTGTAAATCCTTCGTTTAGAGTAATTCACGTGATTTGCTGCAGGGGTTGGACACGCGGGATCATCACAACTCCTCACTGGCCTGACGTGCACCCATTACTCTGATGGAAGTAAGCTGTGGGTGCCACCATGATCACACGAAGCAGCTGCGTCAGTAAGCTCTTCCCGAGGCTTGACCTTGCGCACTTAATTGGATGCCACATCAGCCCTAAGTTCTCAATCATAACAATATATGAGATATTTTGAAAGATTGTATAGAATAAAGAATATTTGTTATTGCTAGTATTTTACTCTTTGGTTATCTTCTTTAATTTACTAAAACAAAATTAATTGATTCAATGAATCGTGTTACAGATTTTAATCATGTTTAACTTATTGTTTACATAACAAAGAGTGTGTGATTTGAGTAAGCTTATCCTACACATTAATATTATCCGTCTTGAATTTGGAGAATTATACTAATCGAATAAGGTTCATAATTCATATTACTTATAAAAGATCCAAATTATTGATTGTGTAAAAATATATACAAACACTGTTGGTTAAATTGGTCAGCATCATACCATGGCGGAGAAGGTTGATGGTTTAAGACAATAAATTCATCCTTTTATTGATAGCTATAACTTTTGATTTTATGATAAACGATTGACTTAACAAAAATATTATTTAGTTCAAACATATAATATAAAAGTTAACTATTTTTAATGAGAATTTAACTTTGAATTTTAATTTTACGAAAATTAAAACGTTTGTGGGAGATATTAACCATATAATAGACTTCATAAAACATGATTATAGTAAGTGCTAGCAGGTAGAGACTTAGTAATTTAATTAGCTGGCCTTAGGGATATGATGTCAATATTTTACCCATATTTTTTGTTAACTCGCTAAATTAGATGGTAGCTTCAATAAACAATTTCAATTATTGGGATGCTTTTACCAATGGATTAGCAAGAGAATGACAAAGCCGATTACCAAATACATACATAATTAATTAACTTAATCAAATGTCGAATCAACATTGAGTGAGAATTACAGAAACCAAAGAAAGAACAACATTATAAGATGATTACAAGGTTAGTTGCAACTTACAAAATTTAGATAATTAAGTATGCAAAGACCCTACATGAAGGAAAAAGTTTACTCTTTCTTTTTCTTTTATTTCTAAAAGCAAATAGATGATTGAAAAAAGAGTTTATTATTTAAATAATTAATAAATAATTATATTGCTTTAGGTGAAGATGTATGAATGGTTTTTGATAAGAGTAATGCTACAGCCACCGACGCTAGTGCACCGAATTTATGCACCGAATGACGTGACAAAATCATGACAACGGTTTTTGATAAGAGTAATGCTACAGCCACCGACGGTAGTGCACCGAATTTATGCACCGAATGACATTTTGTCACGCCATTCGGTGCACTATCATCGGTGGTTGTATTATTTCCCTTTTGATAATAGATATAGTAAGCATTTTTTTTTTGTTTTTTATAACCGAGGTACCTGAGTCAGTTTGCGCATATTTTAACTAATCCCGGAGTC